TGGAAGTCATCAACATTTAGGTAATAGTTCAAGCAGGGGGTGTAAAAGAGATCATTCAGAGAAAGCGTACAAAGTAAAAAAAAAAAAAAAATGAAAGAACTTCACAGATGATCTATTAAGAAAGAAATAAAAAATAAGTAAAGGAAACCAAGAACCATCAGTAGTCTAGGCTCAGTTCAAAGCCTGATGAGTACCCTGCTTAAGGTGGGATATAGGAATCTGCTGAGGAAACAAGCTGGGGGTATGACATCACCAAATAAGAGATAAGGAACACGTTTCCATGTAGGCAGTGGGCTTGTCACTCCCCTTAACTGCTGAGGAGCTGAGTTAGCCCACTGTCATGCTAAGCACTGTTTAGAAAAAGTTCATTATAGCAGCTATAATTGTCTTTACTTCACCCTTCAAGAGGTCAAAACCCCTGTCACCAGGGACGCACTTGGGACATCTCACCTATGCTTTCTAGAAGACAAAGTGTACCTCCTGTTCAGAAGAACTCAGTCTCAGAGCCTCAGAGGTTGTTAGATCTGGCTGTGATTCTTCAATTGGAAAACCCCTCTTATCCAGTTACAATGCCAGGACAGATCCTCCACACCAACCACCACATCAGGAGACCATCAGACACCTACCTTAAACTTAGGGACTGGGAGGGAAAAGTCTCTGTTTTTGGACCTGACATGGCAACGGGGATCTTGGAGGTCTTCGACTGGTATATACTTGGAGTCCTAGGAAAGAAAGCAGGAAGAGAAAGATGGCTCAGGGCGAAGCCAGGTTGTTGAGCTCTAAGAAGCCTATCTGGAGACCCACATGCAAAAAAGCAGGGTCCAACTGCCCATTTCTCAAAAGGCAGGCTATTAGGTATGGGAGTCCTCGGTACTGAACAGAGTAACAGCGAAGAGGAGAGGCCTGGTGTTCCCTAGATGACAAGGAAAGGCCTGGGGCACTCACGTTGACACTGAAGTGGACTCCATCGTAGCGGTACACCTTTTGAGAAGGCCTGCGCAGGGCAGGGTCCAAGGCAGGATCCACGATGAGCTTGTAGTTCCGCCACTGGAAGCTCGGGGCCTTCTGCCCATCTCCCCCACCTTCCTGATCCATCTTTGCTCATTTACACTATTGGGAAAAGAGGGATACGCAAGGGGGTTCAGCACTTAGGCCTGACTCCCTTACTGGCTCTCATTGGCCAGCCCAGATTCCAGGCTCTCTCATCACTCCAGTTTCCGCACCTCACTATGACCCGTGGCTCCCCCAGATTTTGCCCCAAGTACCCTCTGTACCACCACAACCACCCATTCGCTCTCCACCTCCCAACTCTCCCCTTAGGCCCCCAGACCCATCTCGCGCCCCCTTACCTTCCCGCTCTCCCTAGCGCGCGCCCCACTTGGCCTCCACG